GGTAGCTTTAAAAGATGAGGAAATGAATCAGAGTGATAGTACAGTGACTAAGGCACTTGTATTACATGTAGTCAACCCAGATTTGATCCCCAGCATTCCATGTGGTTGCTAGAGCCTCTCAGAAGTGATTTCTAAGTGCAGAACCAGGCATAATCCCTGACCAAGACCAACGATGACCCCAAAACAATAAAATGAAAAGACAAAAAAACTTTTAATTTAAAGAAATGCCAAATGTTGGGTAGGGCATTTTCCTTGCATGTGGCCGATCGTGGTTCAATCCGCAGCATTCCATATGGTCCCTCAAGAATCACCAGGAGTAACCCCTGAATATCACTGAGTGTGACCAAAAAGAAAAAAAAGGAAGGAAGGAAGAAAGAAAGAAGGAAGGAAGGAGGAAGGAAGGAAGGAAGGAAGGAAGGAAGGAAGGAAGGAAGGAGGAAAGAAAGAAAGAAAGGAAGGAAGGAAGGAAGGAAGGAAGGAAGGAAGGAAGGAAGGAAGGAGGAAGGAAGGAGGAAAGAAAGAAAGAAGGAAAGAAAGAAAGAAAGAAAGAAAGGAAGGAAGGAAGGAAGGAAGGAAGGAAGGAAGGAAGGGAGGGAGGAAGGAAGGAGGAAAGAAAGAAAGAAGGAAAGAAAGAAAGAAAGAGAGAGAGAGAGAGAAAGGAAGGAAGGAAGGAAGGAAGGAAGGAAGGAAGGAAGGAAGGAAGGAGGAAGGAAGGAGGAAAGAAAGAAAGAAGGAAAGAAAGAAGGAAAGAAAGAAAGAAAGAAAGAAAGAAAGAAAGAAAGAAAGAAAGAAAGGCAGGCAGGCCAAATGTTTCAGGGAAATGATGCCTTTTAAAACCAAATTTCCTCTCTGCTATGTCAGTTATATCAAAAGAAAAATTTTGAACACATTATAGCCATGCTTCCAGACCCTGCATCAGGCTGTTTCATTCGAGGCAACCCCAACCCAGAGGGGGTGGATGAGTTTCCTTCCCCGCCCCAATGGAGACAGCCCTGATAGCCAAAAACCTCCAGAACTCAACCACCACCCTGCTCACTGCCAGTCTCCACATGCTGAGGCAGAGCCTCACCCTGAGGGAATCCGCAGCAAATGCAGGTATGCAGGACTCGTGACTGAAAACTCTGGGTTTGACAGAACTGGGAGTGGGTGACCTCCCCCCATCTCCCGCTGTTTCTGGCAACATGGCAGTAATGCCCACATGCCATCTCTCGCTGGTGCCAGAAAATCTCATCAATGGCCATGATCCAGAGACTCATTAAAAGTCTCTTGGAAGAAAGCATAAAACAACACAACATAGCCATGCCGCTGGACCCTGCATCAGGCTGTTTCATTTGGGCAACCCAGAGTGGGGTGGGTGAGGCCCCTCCCTATCCCAACAGAGCCAGCCTCAGCAGCTGAAAATCTCCAGAACTCAACCGCTGCCACACTTATGGCCACTCTCCACACACTCGGGTCAAGCCTCATCATGAGGGAATCTATTCCTGGACATCTCACACCTCACACCACCCATATCCCAAGAGCAGTGCACCACATTCGATGAGGTTTAAAGTAGAAGGCAACGAATCTTAGGGGGAAATAAATTTGTACATATATATATGTATACATATATATACTCAACCATACATATATGTATGTATATATAAAAGCACACAAGGCTCAACTTTTAACAACATGATAGTAATCTCTTACAGATGGGCTTAATAGCCCCTGGGTGAAATAAAACAATCTTCACACATTTTCCTCTCAGGAAACATTTTTGGATCATTTATCAGCAGTTTATTCATAACAAACAATACAAAATAAATTACTTTGGTTCTGCTTTAGGGAAGGGATCGGGTTTGGGATGGAAACACCCAAAATATGTCGGCGGGGATGGTGGGGGGATTGATGTTCGAATATTAAACGTAATCAACTATTGTGAACTACTTTATAAAACTAAAATAATTGTTTTATAAAACAAAGAAAAATAAATAAATAAATAAATAAATAAAAGTAAAGTAAAGTAAAGTAAGATCATTGATTTGCTCGAGCGGGCCCAGTAACGTCTCCATTGGAGACTTTGTTGTTACTGTGTCTGGCATATCGAATACGTCACGGGGAGCTTGCCAGGCTCTGCCGTGCGGACGAGATACTCTGGGTAGCTTGCTGGGCTCTCCGAGAGGGGCGGAGGAATTGAACTCGGGTCGGCCATGTTGGCTGCGTGCAAGGCAAACGCCCTACCGCTGTGCTATAGTGAACTGGTGGAAAGCCTGAAACTATGGTAGACTTCCTCCATCCTCTTTCCCAACCCCTTCTCATTTAAAGGATTTGCCTATGACCCAAAGTCTGCTTTTTCCAGTTACCAGTTTCCCAGAACAACTTGTTTTGTTGGAAGCAATCTAGTCTTTGATAGTATCAGAGGACATATTTGTAGAAGTTTCTAAGACTCACTGCTGTATTGACTAAACTCTGTGTACAGCGCAAGCCTACTAACACTTGGCTCATCACCCAAAGCACAAGTTTATTAATCACCATGCACTTAATCTCACTCATCTTCATTATATCTAGGTTAAGAAGCAGAAAAGCAAGCAAACCATTACTACTCTGTAATTCTACCATAATGCTAATGGTAGAAACTTGCACTTAGAAAGCCACAAGACTCTCTTAGATAAGAGTTCATTCATTTAGCCAAGTGTGTGTGTGGGGGGGGGTGGTTCTCCCTTAATATAAACTGTATAAACTATAATATTTTGTGACAAGTTTTATCCATCAGAAAACATGGGGGTGCAGGTGATGAAGAAATGAAGGTTTAAGAAGCAAATACTCATCTATTAAAAGTATAAATTTAGGGTCACCCTTGGCACTGTCCTCTTCCATACCCAATCTGGGCTATCTTGATTTCTCTTAAGCTTTCCTACAAGCCCCTCTTGCCTCTTAACTGACCGTCTCCCTAAGCTGTCTCCCTAGGATGATGTCATTTGTCCCGTATCCAGTGTGTGTCACACTCTCTGGTCATGCCTGCCCCAAGATTTCAGAAGTGTGGCAAACGCAGCAAGGGGAAGAGGTGGGAACTTCAGATGAATCTTCCATTTATGAAGTAGTCTTTGCTCCCCTTGGTGGAAGGGAACCAATAGCTACCAGTAGCAGCGCTGTGGGAGTCAGCACAACTGAAGCACAAAGAACAAAGGTATCCAGCAAATCACTTTCATTATGTTGACCCGAGCCTACTCCACCTAAAGTTTTTCTCAGGTGACAGCCCTCCGGGACTTTCTTTCACCTTATTGACATGCCTGCTCTTTCAAGCTGATCAAATAACTCATCACATGAATGCCTCTCCCTCTCCTAAAAGTTCCTGATGCAGAAATCAAGTCCGTGTTTATTCCTCCCAGCACTGTGCTTGGCAAAGGAACGCCTTGGTATACGTGTCGAGTAAATCTCACCCAGTAAAGCAGACCCAAGATAGCAGCAGTTCCGAATCAGAATGTGCAGGAACATTCCCTCTCTGCTCTAGTTTTCTCTCCAGCCTTCCTGAGTAACACAACCACGCGGGCAAGCTTCCAAAAACACCCAATCCCAGGGCGCAGAGTGACAGACCCATTGAGCTGCGATCTGCCGGATTGTGGAAGAATCTCCAAATACTTCTCATCTGTGAGTCGGGTGGGCAAAGTTCGTCGTGCGCTCCCCGCTACAGTTTGGGAGCCAACGCCTCCATCCTCTCTGCCCCTCCTCTGTCTTGGAGAAATTCTCTTTTCTTAGAGAATGCGGAAAGGGGTGAGGATATGTGGGGGGGGGGGGGGGGGGGAAGGAAGCGGCGCCCCAACCAGCAGGAAAATCTTGGCTGTTGGAAGCAAGGGAGGGTCGGGATGCTCGGCGCGGTCCCGGGCAAAGCCGGGCACCTGTTGGGCTCCAGGCCCGCTCGCTCACCCCCCCCCCCCCCCCCCCCAGAGCCGCTCGAGCCACTCAGGCAGGACGTTTCTGCCCCTAGAGGGCGAGTGCACAGGCTCAAGGACCTCTTTCCTCTCTCTCTCTTCGTTCTTTCTCTCTTCTTCCTTCCCTTCGTTCTTTCTCTTTTTCTTCTCTCTCTTTCCGTCTTCCCCCCCCCCCACCTCTTTTAATATTAAAAACCCTCACCGAATTTCCTAAAGCGTGGAACCAAATGTTAATAACTACTCAAAAGGCTTAATTCCGCAACCCTCCCTTTTCCTGGCGGTGCTCCCCAAAGAATCCCAAGTCGACGATCTTCAGACCCGTATCTCTGGTTCCACAGCCGCCCGCTTCCTTCCCAAGCTCCAATTATTCCCATGTATTTTGTAATTTATTTTTATTTATTTATTTTTTTGCACGATTCCATCGACATTCCCCGTGCTGGAGCCAAGAGTGTCCCTCCTCCAGGAAGACTGGGCTCTTTGAAGCCGCGGGCGGGCCCCCTCGGGAAGCGCCCAGCGCCGGGACCAGGGGGACCCCCCAGGACAGACGCACGTGGCGATCTGCACGGGCCCCCCGCGGCCCGCCGGGCTCCCCTGGCGTCCCCGGCAAGCCTGGGCCCGACACTCGAGCCTACAGCCAGCGGGACACAGCGGCGGGTCCCCCTCTCGGCCCGGAATCTGGACGCTGCAGGCGTGAGCCAGAGCTCGGGGGCCGGGGCAGTCGCCCTCCCTCCCTTCTTCCCTCCCCGCGACTCGGAGGGCACCGAGACCGCAAACCCGGAGCCCGCACCCCGCACCCCGCACCCTGCACAACAGGTCTCCCGGCTGCCGCGATTAGCCTGGGGGCGGGGGGGGAAGGGACGATGCGCGTTTCGGGGGCGCCCACCCTGCAGCGGGGTCACTCGATTTCCCCGCTCCTCTCCTGCTTCTCTGCAAACCGTGAGTTTGGGGGGCTGCAGGAACCGATCCCCCGGGCGCGCAGAGGCGGCAGGTCGGGACCGTTCGGAGCCGGCTCGGCTCCGCTCGGTCCGAAAGGAAAGTTGGGTGCTGCGGGGAAAGGCGGCTTCGGGCGCGCGCGGGTCGGGCACCACTCACCTCGCGCCTGCGGTTCCATGCTGCCCGATTCCCGACTGAGCGCCGTGGGGTCCCTCGCCGGAGTCGCACGCAGCAGTGCCCGAGCTGGAAATGCAGCAGGCCCCGCCGCTCGCGCCCTCTCCCTGCTCCCGTGCGGCTTGCACTGCGTGGAGGGGGTGGGGGACCGTCGGACAGCCACCACTGGCCGCTTCTGGATACCTCCGCCCCTTCCACCTGGCCCCAAAGTGTCGCCAAGGAGTCCGCCACTGGGCGCCACCTGCCGGCGGCAGCGCGATCGGCGCCCACTCCTGGCTCGGGGCCCCAGCTCAAGCAGGCGGCTGCCAGCCAGGCCCCACAGAGATGGGTTCTGAAGTCGGTGGTACCAGGGCAAATTGCCCTGGGTAAGAACAGTAGCGAGTCTTGGCTTCTATGGGGAAGCAGAATTTGGTTCCTCTGAACCTCCGGTTGCAACGTTTTGTAAATTGCTAAGTAGTGAATCGTTTTATGTGTGATTTCAGGTTAAAAATACTTTGTTTTGAGGACGAGAGATAGCGTCCGAGTAGGGTGTTTGCCAGGGGTGATCCCTCAGAACAAAGCCACCAGGTTGACCAAAAAAAACAAAACACAAATAAGCAAAACTACTTATTGGGACCTGGGGTGATTTATAAGTTAAACGTCTTGAAGATGAGGCCATGAATTCTATCCTAGTGCAGTCCACATACACCAAGAGTAGTCTCAGACACTATGTAGTCTGGGCACTCAAGAACCTCAACAGAATGTTGTGATCTCCTGCAGTCAACCAAGTGTGTGCACTGTGACCTGGGAGTGTCACAACTAATGATGGAGGAGCAGGGTGATCAGGAGTGCAACCCACCACTAACAGATCAGCCAGAATGTGCAAACCTCAGGGCTAACTGGGCCACCCATCCCCAACACACACACACACACACACACACACACACACACACCACAACCAACTACAAGCACAAGAAAGTGGACCAAACAAGTGGAAGCAAAGATAAACAAGTGGTACTACATTAAACTGAGAAGCTTCTGCACCTCAAAAGAAATGGTGATCGCCCAAAAGACCAAAAGCAACTGGTGTTGGCGTGGATGTGGCGAGAAAGGGACTCTCCTTCACTGCTGGTGGGAATGCTGACTGGTTCAGCCCTTTTGGAAAATAGTGTGGATGATTCTCAAAAATTTAGAAATTGAGCTCCCATTTGACCCAGCAATACCACTACTGGGAATATATCCTGGTGAGACAAAAAACTTCAGTCGAAATGACATTTGCACTTCTATGTTCATTGCTGCACTATTCACAATAGCCAAAATCTGGAAAAAATCCCAGTGCCCGAGAACAGATGACTGGTTAAAGAAACTCTGGTACATCTACACGATGGAGTACTATGCAGCTGTTAGAAAAGATGAAGTCATGAAATTTACATACAAGTAGTACTACATGGAAATTATCATGCTAAGCGAAATGAGTCACAAAGAGAGGGACAGACATAGAAAGATTGCATTCATCTGGGGAATATGAAGTAACAAATTGGGAGACTAACACCCAAGAATAGCCAAGATAAGTACCAGGAGTTTCACTCCATGGCTTGGAGGCCAGCTGCACATGCCAGGGGAGAAGGCAGATCAGATAGAGAGGGGAGCACCAAGTAAAGGGTGTTGGGAGGACCCTCCCAGGATGAGAGATGCATGCTAAAAATAGACTATAGACCGAACATGATAGTCACTCAATGCCTCTTTTGCAAACCACAGCGCCCAAAAGGAGAGAGAGAACAAAAGGGAATGACCTGCTACAGGGGTGGGGTGGGATGGGGGGGGTGGGGGGCTGGGAGGGATGCTGGAAGCATTGGAGGTGGGGAATGGGCACTGGTGGAGGGATGGGTACTGGATCATTGTTTAACTGAAACCCAAGCATAAAAATTTGTAAGGTCAACAACTGTACCACATGGAGTTTCACTAATAAAAAATCCACTGTCCACTGTCCTCCCGTTATTCATCGATTTGCTCGAGCAGGCCCAGCAACGTCTCCATTGGAGACTTTGTTGTTACTGTGTTTGTTGTTACTGTGTTTGGCATATCGAATACATCACAGGTAGCTTGCCAGGCTCTGCCGTGTGGGCGAGATACTCTCGGTAGCTTGCCAGGCTCTCCGAGAGGGGCGGAGGAATCGAACTCGGGTCGGCCATGTTGGCTGTGTGGAAGGCAAATGCCCTACTGCTGTGCTATCGCTCCAGCCCCAATAAAAAATTAAAGAAAAAAAAAAAGCAATGGTGAGCAAGATACATAGCCCACTAAATGGGAAAGATTATACAATACTCATCTGATAAGGGGTTAATATCAAAGATATATAAGGTACTGGTAAAACTTTACAAGTAAAACATCCAACTGCATCAAAAAATGGGGAGAAGAAATGAACAGAAACTTCCTCAGAGAAAAAATACAAATGGCCAAAAGACACATGAAAAATGCTCTACATCATTTATCTTTAGGGAGATGCAAATCAAAACAATGAGATATCTCATACCACAGAGACTGGCACACATCAAAAAAAAAGAACAACCATTTCTGGCATGGATGTGGGAGAAAGGACTTCATAATTGATGGTGAGACTGTCAACTGGTCCAATCTTTTTGGAAAACAATATGGACATTCTTCAAAGATATAGAAAATTAGTTTGACTCAGCAAGAACATCTATAGTAATATATCTGGGGGGGGGACATACAGCAGAAATACCACCTGCACTTCTATGCTCATTGCAGCACTATTCACAACAGGCAGAATCTGGTAACAACCTAAGTGCCCGAGAACAGATAACTGGATAAAGAAAACTATGGTACATCTACACAATGGAATACTATGCAGCTTTTAGAAAAAATGAAGTCATGAAAAGGACCTGGGGTGTATCATGCTGTGTGAAATGAGTCAGAAGGAGGGACATATATAGAATGACTTCACTCAATTGTGGGATATAAAAAAATAATAGTATGAGACTAATATCCAAAGCCAGGAAATACAGAGGCCAGAAGGACTGTCAATGGTTGGAAGTTTGCCACAGTTTATGTGGAGTGAAGATCAGGGGCCATATGATAATAATAGTTAGAAATGATCACCCTGGACAAGATCTGAGTGTTGAGGGTAGGTAAAGGGATATATATATAACCTTTCAGTAGCTATATTTCAAACCATAATGCCCCAAAAGAGAAAGAGGCAGAGAGAGAGAGAGAGAAGAAAAGTGTCTTACATAGAGGTAGGGTGAGGGGGGTCTGAGGGAAACTGGGAACATTGGCGGTGGGAAATGTACATTGGTGAAGAGACAGGTGTTGGAACATTATATTACTGAAATTCAATTATGAACAACTTTGTAGCTGTGTATCTCACTGGTTCTATTTTTAAAAAATAGAATTTTACTCAGTATATAAGGTTGACTCACTAGCATTGATCTTAGGGTCCACAGCTTTGTAACTCATACTTGAATGAAACTTATCAAACCTACGTAAGTATGAATTTCCTTCCTAAGGCTACAAAACATCCTCCCTGCACTTAGGCCACTAGACAGCACTTCAACACCATTATTAAGAACTGTTTAGGGGCTGGAGTGATAGCACAGCGGGAGGGCATTTGCCTTGCGCACGGCTGACATGGGTCCAATTCTTAGCATCCCATATGGTTCCCTGAGCTGCCAGGAGTAATTCCTGAGTGCACGAACCAGGAGAAACCCCTGTGAATCGCCGTGTGCAACCCAAAAAGAAAAAAAATGTTTAAAAAAGCAAATGTCTGCCCACAAAAATATTTATTTTTATTTGTTTGAAATTTAATAACTGAAAGAAGGTAGATGCTTGCTTTTTTGATACCAGCTGAGAAGATAGGCATTTTCCAACTCAAATTTTTCAGGACTGTGCCTTTGAATGATCACAGAAGCATTCTAATGATTCTGGTAATACCAATAAATTTTAGTGTGAAGGAAAATTCACAAGTATGAAATTTGTAAATAACCAGTTACTGTATTTGTTTCATCCAAATCTGTAGATTCTGTTTGGAGGTTTATAAAGCCATCATGTTTTAAGAGAAAAGATTTGAAGTTATTCTCTTTAAACATGACAGATTAATTAACCTACAAGGCAGGGCATAGGAATTTCAGATTATATATATATGTATATATATGCATATATATACATACATACATAGACACATATATACATATATGTGTATGTATCCAGAAAGTTGATGCTGATTACTTACAGATTCTTACAGATTCCATATTTATTCATATTTATTATATAGCTGAGAAACTGCTCCAAGCCTAGTCTGGCAACATAAGGAGAATGCATGATAAGGATTCTGAAATATCAGCACATGATATTTCATGAGATAATCAACAAATATTTCAATTTCTTAGGTCTTCGACTGTTATAAACCTCACATTTAACATCTATGCAATCTTCAGCTATAAAGTAAAATATTGTTCTTGAAAAGTTGGCTTTTCTTTTGGGGGATCACAACCGGCTATGTTCAGGGGTTACTTTTGGGTCTGCACTCAGGAACTACTCCCGGCGGTGCTTGGGGGACCATGTGGGATGCCAGGGATTGAACCCAGGTTGACAGCATGCAAGGCAAATGCCCTATCCGCTTTGCTATCACTCCAGTCCCAAAGTTGGCATTTTTCTGTCTTTTTTAATATTCATATTATCCACCCATTCTTTCTATTGAAGAACTTTATACAAGGTCACAACTCAAAGAAAGATTTGTTGAATAAACAATGAGCCAGCCAGTAAGTTCTATTTTACTGGAATCTAAGCTACTATAAAGGTTAAGACCAATAAATATGAATGGAGTCTTGCTTTTTTCTAAAAAAAGGGACACTCATGATTTCCTCTTTCCTGTATCAACATGTCAGTGTTTTCTGTTTAGTTGAAGATATCCCCGATTTGTCATTATTGTTGTCATAATTGTTCTATAGCACACCAAGAATAGGTCTTCTTAAATACTCCTGGTGATAGTGCCTGAGGATGTGCCAAGTGACTAATCAGAATCAGTGATTAAATCACTTTCAGAGTCTGCTCAATTGCTCAACCTTCTCTACTTTGGAAAGAAAAGACCAGGTTAGGGTTGACGCCCAGTGGTTAAAAGGAGCTAAAAATAGTTAATGACTTTCTAGCTTGAGTCATCTAACCTTCTACACTCTGACTCATTTTTCTGATTTATAAAATTTTAAGCTACTACCAC